GCTGGCAGTAGCAAGGACATGACACTGTCTCCTCCTAAATCTCCTGAATTCTCCATCTTGCCCAGTGGTATTGTTCTGTAAAGTTTGTTATAATTTTACTTATTTTTTTTGGTAACACTGGATGATAGTACCAAGCTAAACTGTGGTTAAAGAACAGTCTGTCAGGTGTGGTATAAGATATGAAGCAAACAGTAAAATGTTTTGTATTGTTACTTCACTATCTGATAAACATGAAATATATTTTTATTATTTAATCTGAGTAAGTAGATAAATTTTACAATAATAGTTAAATACAAGTAATATACCAATAAGATAAGGATCAGACTTTTAACTCTCAGTTTTCTTGTACTTATGTTATATTTCATAGGGTATTATGCGTTGTTTTCCATTGAACAACAACTTGGAGTTGGGAACAAAATCAAATGCTTTTGCTCTAAGGATTTTGCAGTTGCTGGATGAGGAGCATTTTGATGTAAAGTGAACAACTGAAAAATGAGTAGTGATATCCTATTTTGACAGGAAGTGCGAAGAACACCATATTAAGCCAGAGAAAGTTACATCTGTTCTGCATTTATTTTATGTATGCTTTACATAAAAAATGCAATATGGATCATATTACTGGAAATCTGCATCTGTCTGAATGTATGTATATAATATGTAGCTGAAAATTATTGGGATTATCCAACTAAGGTTTCTTTATGCATTGTACATGCAAAGAATAATGGTTTGACTATAGACATGTATTTTTTTATATTCCTCACCTGTGCAGAGTCCATGCATCAGATTCTGCTGTTCGTTCTGTATAATTTTCTGGTAAATAACCACTACAACCTAGAAAGCGTAATACACAATATCTTTAGAATAATTTTGTGCATGGATAACAGGATTATGCTTTACAGTGTGTGGCTTATGTAAATTGTATTTAAAATTTGGTTCCATCCTTTTAGAAAACATGCCACTTCACCAGTAGTTTTAATAGAAAGGTGATGACAATACTTTGAGGTTATGTCTGACTTAACATATTTAACATTTTTTTTTATTTTTAAGAGAAGGTGCCATTACTGCTTACCAGTGCAGAAAACTGAAACTCCACAAAACCCCCTCACAGAAAAATAATCTTTGTACCTGTGAGCCATGACGTGCCTTCCACCCACCCATCAGGTGAAGCATTAAGAGCTTCACTGCTCAGGCAGATATAGTCACCAATCCTCAATTCCAATTCATCTGACTCCCTTGGGATGTGCGAGTACAACACCTTATGGACCTGCCAGTAGTAGGAGGTGCTGTGTGAGATTCTGCTTATTAGAAATTAATACACACATTTTATCATCCACTGGTGACTAATATGAGTACTTCCTTTTCTTTCTTTTAATCCTTACATTCTTCTTAAGCTTTAGATGGTGTTTGTATTTAAACCATCACACTACTTTCAGCAGAGTTATACATCTGCCAATCACCATTTTAATTTTAAACCATGTTTTCTCTTTTGAACTGTACAGTGATTTGTGGATTATTAAAATGCTTTTGATGTAAAGGGGATAGACTTGTGATCCGAGTGATGAAGGCACACATGGGAATGCATACAGAATTTTAGTTAGAAAAACTGGAGGAAAGAGGCCAGGGTGTAGATGGGAGCATAATGTTTACAAGAATCTACCACTGCATCATAACCTTAAGAGCCAGTTGAGTCCAGTAAAAATTCTCACACTTTTTTTTAATATCCATTTTAACATGGTAATTAACCTTTGGGTTCCATGATGAAATCCTCGACCAACTGAGCACCTATCAGTTTCTGAAGAAGGACTCGGCTACAAATAGGTAATTACATTTGTTAAACTGTGGTAGTTCGGCACAATGAACCTTTATCTGTGTATTTTATTTGTATAGCATTGATAAGGTTCATTAAGATATTTGTAATTAACATAAAAGTAAACTTCTACATTCCTTAAGAAATGCTTCCATTAACTTTAATAACTTGAAATATTCTCTTAGTGTCATTTTAGATAATGCTGTTGTAGCTAAGTTTAACGTCTCTTCTTGAAGTTTTGTATTTCATCACATTGCATACTGGTGGCCGTATTTTAACTAACCTGTGTAGAAGTAACGCGTGTATCTCGAGAGTAGAGTCGGAGCTCCCAAGCGGCTGGAGCAGAGGAGTCTAGCTCTTCCACAAGTGTCTTGAGGGCAGTAAACTGTGTGGGTGGAAACTGGTACGCTAATGTCAAGTGAAGTGACTTGACATGGGGTTCTAGGGTAATAGCTATAATTCAACAAATACTGTATGAGTAATTTACAGTTTATGTGTACCATTTCATTCCATTTATCAATATAGTAACATATTCTAATCATTTTCAAGACCTTGAACATAAAATATAGTTGCTTTGGCCTTGTTTTGGTATAATAAAGTAATTTCAGACCAACTGAATTGAAAAATAATATTATATATACCATATTAGCAATTAGCAGACTCTGTGAAAACCCAGTTTATTTCTGGCAAAGAAACTAATAAACAACACCGAATATATTATCAAACATGCGCTATGCAGAAATAAACAAGCATTATGAGCATCCATCATTTCAAACACATACCAGTACTACTACATTTCTTCAGGAAGTATCATCCACATTTATGTGACTTATGCTTAAACAATTTAGAGGAAGTTTCTTGACCAATTGAGTGATTACAATCAGCTTCTGAAGAAGGACCCTGTTTTGAAGTGTTAACTATGGAATGTTGGAAACATTAGTTCCCTGTAATTTCCTTCAGTGATTTATTTCCTCAGTCTTTGGATATTTTATCAGATGTTATTTCTGTAACAGAACTGGTTCTGGATGCTGGACTTACAGCATAATTAAAATTTCAGTGGCTTACTCTTCAGCGAAATAATGATGGCTGAGGGTTTAGACTAGTGATGAGACACTTACTATGATATCAGAAACATACACCCCTCACTTCTTTATTCTGTAACATTCATTCAGCCAAAATGCAAGTCTGTCTTATGTTGCCAACTATAGCGTGGTGAACACCGCCAGAAAAGTGCCAATGATAACATTCTACATTCATGCAAACACTCAGTCCGTGTATTGTATTCATGCCATCATGCACATTCTAATTTTGTCACAATATAAACCATAGAAGAGTCATAAATTATTGCAATGACTATAACAAAACTGTAATTATTAGTTCCAAAACATTAAAATTTGCTAGTCAGGAGGCTGGAAAGGAATTACTAAAAGCAAGGCATAAAATAACACCCATATCATAGAAATGCTTAATTTCTTTCTTACTAATATTCAGGGAAATAGAAGCCACATACTACTGAAAGCATAATATACAGTTACAAAATGCTGAAATTTCCTACTTCCAAAATAACATTATTTGTTCTGTTGAAGTTTGCATAATTTTCCCTTGAATGTCAATCAGATTCAGCTTTGTCCTTTATTTTCCAATTACATGAAAGTACTCCAAACAATAAATGTAAAATGACTGTAAACTTAAAAAAAACTTTATTCATGCTGCATTCTTCCTTACATCTGACTCCTCGAGGTACATATCTATCTGTGGCAGTAGTGCACCATGGGAAACAAGCAGAGAGGGCATCAAGATGTTCATAATTATCATTAATTACTGTAAAGGAATAACAAGACCAAGTAAATTATCTTCAACAGTGACCAATTGACTATGTGATTAAAGTTGATTCAGCTGGTGTCAGCAAACTAAATTGTAAGTAAGCAAAAAGTTATGAGACATCAATTTAACCTTGCCAAGCTAGATAAATTTATAACAGACCAGATATTTCTTATTTAATTCTCTCTTTCTTTGTTGTTTATGCTTTATCCCTTTCTGATGTCTCATTTTCTTTCCTTAACTTTTAAATTCTCTTCTATAATTTTAAGTCATTTCTAAGTTACTTGTATGTTTTAAGACACTTGGATTTTCATTTTGCATGCAGAAGCTCATAATGTTATTTTACCCCATATAACACTTTTCCTATAGTACCTATGAAGGTGGAAACAAAGGAATAATGAAATATAAACTAATATTAACCTATACTAGCCATGAACTTCTTATATACCAATAATCTGCCATTCAAAGATGAGTCTTAAACATTATAACAGAATCATTCCAATAAACAAAGATTTGAGAGCATGTTTGCACCAACAGATGGCAACTAAATGCAGAAAGCTATGCTGTTAACATGTCCATATGGGAGATGGATGAACACCATCTAAAATGTTAATGTAAGAGTTGAAAGAGTAAGATTCTAGTAAAATAAAATATAAAAAAAGGATTATCTTGGTTCAGGGACCAATCCTACCAAATAAAGACCAGGCTAATTACCAACCCACCATATTCTACATTTATTATACATGAAGCCTATTTTGCTTTCCTCCATTTGCTTCCTCACAGCCCATACCCCAAATTTCTGTTTCCACTGTCATGCACAAAATTAACCGTATCTGAAAACATATACCAACTCACTTGAATTTGACACTTCTTTCACATACTGCATAGCTATTCTTTTAAGCAGATCTGCGTGTTCTTCAGCAACAAAGAAACCCATAAAATTCTGTGAAACATAGGTTTCCAGTCTCAGTGGTTCACAGAGATTCACACGCTGTAAGTCCACGACATGCTTCAGTGTTCTGGCAAGCTGTTGGGCACATTCATCAGGTGCCTGTGAAACAACATATTGTATGAACATGCACTTTGTTTTAGAGGTTTAACCATGAATGATATTTCTTGTCTATACATTCTGGTTCAGTTTAATGCAGATGTGAACAGTAGACCATAATTACCACAAAATGCAACTAAATGTGTCATGATGGTCATATTTTGCATATGGAGAAATTGACAGAAAGAAAATGTTAATAGCTAAATTTAAATTGTTGTCGCATTTTATTGGGAAAACTTAAGACCTAGATCAACTTAAACATGTAACATATACATCGCTTGTATTTTTGGGCTTTCATTCTGATCCCTCAAATTGCCTATGTTTGTATTATTTTATGGAAAAATGAGAAATATTTGTTTTGGTTGGACTGCAAATCAACAGATTGTAATACTGCTTTCAGATTCCACCTATTAACAGGACATAGTTTGTGTCCATCATACAGTATATACATGTATAGAAGTCTTATTTCAAGCATATCTTTATTAATCAGTGTATTTTTTAATATGATTAATTTGAATTCAAATTGGCTGACTATCAATATACCACTTTTAATAGCTGTCACTTCTTGGTTCCTGTTACAGATCTATCATGAAAATGGTCATGTCATGTTTATTTTGTTCTCAAACTAAAATCTTCATTGCAATATCAAAGCATATTTTGCATGACAAATGCCAACATGGAATTTCAGTCATAAAATACCCAATGGTTTTATCCATTACCTTAAAAAATGAAACTAATGTGATATGAGGCATAAAGTTGTGAGCACCATTCCAGCCACACTGAGACAATGATTTTTCCCAAAATGCTTGCAATTGTTCCAGAAATGGGCCAGTTGGACATGCATACAGAATGTATTCACGAGGACAGTTGTCATCTAAAGTTGGATCATTCACATGTGCCAATAACCAATCTGATGCAAGTTGCACACCTCTATTTCCTGTTGCAGCCAAAGCCTTCTCTCTGAAACAAATTCATTATCTCACTTAAGAGTAGCTTTTATTCAGTATATTAGAGTATTAAAACTCTTGCTGTGTTAATATTTCAAGCGAATTGGAACAAAAATTGTAAGGAAGCAACACTCAATTTGCCAGGATCTTATACACTAAACCATTCTTAATTCAGCCCACTTAGCAAAATAAAATGACATTTTAAAGCACCTTAACATACCCCACTTATATACTATTTAAGATTCATTAAAAATATTGAAGTTTATCAAATCCAAGACTGAAAATGAAGGGAAACAGGGTCAGGATTTTCAATATCATAAAACAGCTGAAAAGGATGTATGTTGCAACATATTTAGAACAGCTTACGCTCTGTGCTTTGGAAAGCCCATCTGCAATAGTATCTGTAACGGGGATAAATGCAGTTTCGATATTTTGGTTGGTGTGGGATTTTTCCGTGGTGGAAGTGTCGCCATGTTAATACAAGGAACTAATTGAATGAACACAATGCACATAATCTTAAAAATCAAAAGAAAGAAACGACGCAAAGATTTTATGGAAAATATTAAAATTATATGTAATTAATTCTATATGTTAATATGATTTTTAGATTTTATGGAAAATATTAAAATTATATATAATTACTTCTATATGTTAATATGATTTTTCTATATAGTTAATGCGTAAGGTTTATAGCTGGTGACGATATGACTTCACTTCCTGATGAATTGCAGTAGTCTAGTACCGGTTTGAAATGGCGGGTGTGTTGTTTGAAGATATTTTCAATGTGAAAGATATTGATCCAGAAGGAAAGAAATTTGACAGAGGTCAGTAAATGCTTTAATATTTCCATTAAAAGTACATGGGTTTAATTGTATGTTGGTTGAATTATGTTGCCGTTTGATTAAATACTGTTTGTTACATAACCTCTACCTGTTTCATGGCCACTGCAAGTTCACGAGGTTATGTTTTATATGTCAGTTGAATTAAGTAATTTTATATCTGGCATCCTGTTGTGGAGCTATTCAGAATGCCACTAGGAGTGGTCTGTTCCAGCATTTGTTGCTTGCATTATGTTATCTTATTTTACTGACAGGATTTTTGAGGAACAAGTATTCTTTGGAATTTTATATATATCTGCTGTCTTCATGTTTGTGTGTTTTCGATACACATATATGTTCTTGTAAATCTGATTTGAGAGAAATGAAGTTTGATTTGAGTTTGAGGGGGCTATGTTGGTGTCGGTATTGACTGAAAATAAATTTGTTGGATAGCTGCTAGTAGATCGGAGTACCACACCTCATTGAAATCTGTTGAGTTGTTTTTAGTGCTGAAACATGGACATTGAGGCATCCTTGTCTTTTATAATGTGTTCACACTTCTTAAATAACTGAACCATTATTAACTTGAACTGCTAGAAGATACTAAGAAATATTTTGTTTTGTTGTAACCAAAGAACACACACAATTAAATCAAGAGAAGAAGCTTTGACTTTCACAAGTGGTGGCATATATTTATTAATTTTTAGTCAGAACTTTCCAACAGCATGTGCATTGCAACTAATTACATGATTCATGCATAAAACTTGGATATTGTTTTGACTTAGAAGAAAGTATTTTCCCTTACTGTATTATTTTATAGTAGTACTTTGTTCAAGTTTCGCAATATTATTTTGGAATTTGCCAAGATTTGTAATGACTATAATTTGATGAAATGAGGGGTCATTTTAAATTATTTCCTACAGTAAAACTAATTTATTCTTTTTCTTTGATTGTAATATTAGAGCTTGTACCATGCTTATACTACTACTGTAATGATGATGATGTGACAAAGGATTAATTTAATGTTTTATTAGCTTCTTTTACTGACTTAATTTAGAATTACTGAATGTTTACTTGTATCTTGAAGTGTTATAAAATTAAGAACAAAATAATGCAGCAGTTTTCATTCGTCACCAATATCCCTTGATGTTGAAAAGGTGATTTGGATCCTTTAAAAACTATTTATTTGCAATTAATTTCTTATTTACTTGTTCACCCTCTTCATATTCTTTATACACATTGACATGGAACATATTTTTAAAGCCTCTGTAACTTTTCTATGTATTCTTTCTTTTGTTTGATCCTTGAAATGTCAGACACATGGAAGTGAGTCTCAGTGTGTACATATGTAAAGTTGTTACAAAAGATGGGCATTTAGATTGTCAGATACAGCTTTTGTTTCTTGTAATCATAGTTTTAACTCGTTAGGAAATCTTATCTTGATGGAATGACAAGTTCAGGAGAGAAATGTAGAAGCATTATTACATTCGTCTTGTCAGTGGTGTAAGAGGTGGACAGATAGATGGCGATGAATTGGCAGAGTTATAAAATAGAAATAAAAGATGGATTTGCGGATGGTTTGTTACACACACAGCAGTTGGAAGGAAGGAATCTTGTATCTTATGTATTAGAAACAGACCAGCGTGATTTTTTCTTTTCTTGGCAGTATGAGAAGCTTGTGGAATGTCTGTGCAGTAGCTTCATTGGCACGTGGCATGAAGGAAACTTTGATAAATATATCTTATTACATGTAACTGCAGGGTACATCAGGGGTCCCCAACCTTTTCATTACCACCGCCGCATTGGCTACTTATATCCTTGTCAAAAAACATATTTAAGTAGTTGACAGAAATCAGAAGTGCATTTCTTTTCTTTCAGAGTATAGCTGGTATTCACTTGAAAACAAATGGTTATATTTCTCCACCAACGTTTCAGAAGTCCTTGCTGCCTCCATTTTCATCGCCTTGATGATGGAGGCCGTAAGGACCTCTGAAATGTTGACATACTTCTACCAGATTACATGGCACTACAACCCACAAGACATGAGCCAGGATAGCTCAGTCAGTATAGTGACTAGCTACGGGCTGGACGACCGGGGTTCAATCCCCGACGGGGGCAGAGGATTTTTCCTCTAGCCTCTGCATCCAGACCGGCTCTGGGGCCCACCCAGCCTCCTCTACAATGGGTACCGGGTCCTTTCCCGGGGGTAAAGCCGGCCGGGGCGTGATGCTGACCACTCACCCCCATCTAGTGCCGAGGACAAGGAAGAGAGGAGCTATACCTCCACTCCCCCCCCAAGCGGGACAAACTTTTTACAACCCAGAAGACAGCCATCAAAGTTAAAAATTTTTTTTGGTGATTTCTTGTACATTCCCATCTGTAAATTTACGTCCTTAATAAATAAAAGGCCATTTTGCTTTATGCTGATATCTGCGTTAAATGTATGAATAGCAACTTGCCCATGCAGGTGTGGTTTGTGGAAAGAGCGTTTGTATATGATGTTCCCAGAAAATACCTGTAAGATTTAGACTGCCCGCCTAACAAACGTGCCGGAGAAGTTGCCGCATATGCATGGCGCTGTAAATGAAACTCTTGTAAAGTTCAATAATGAGAAGTGCGAAATAAGATTGAGGAACAGGCAGCAAATGTCCTGTGCAGTATAATTTACCGTGGAATTATTTAGGCTGTAACTGATTCTGGTGTACAGTTCAGCTTGATGGAGCAGTTTTCGAGAAAGTACCCCGTGGGCGAGGACGAATATGGTTCTCGAAACGTTGGTGTCTTCTCAATTAAACCACCTGACACGGTTGGTAGCCCGAGAAGAATTCATTCGCCGTGAAAGCTTCAGATCATACAACGAAAATTATGCTTGTCATTTGTTTGTTTCAGAAAAGAACTCAAGATTTTTTCGCTGTCCATATAATATGTGTCACACACATTCATTTGTTTGTTTCAGAAAAGAACTCAGATTTTTTCGCTGTCCATATAATATCCTGAAGTTAAAGTTGTAATGGATAATATATTTTTGCCCTGTCATTTAAGAAATATTAAATTCCGTTTTATGTCTTTGTGTTCCAAAGTAATTTTTGCATTTCACAACTGCAAGCGTATAAAGCAATTTGTGCTCGTCTTTTGGGAAATATAAGCCATTTTGGAGGCAGGCTACGTACATAACCCAGGATAATAAAAGAACCGGGCGTTTTCGTGATGTAATTAGTTGAGTGATGGCGTATTTCTCACTGTATGCTCCGCCCCCATCTATTGTTAGTGGGCCGCCCCTTTGAGAGTGCATGCGCTGCTTGTGGGGCAATCGATACGCAGCTGAAACCGAGGCGAACAGTATGGCGGTCAAGGTCACATCTTCTTTGGAAGGTCATCCCATTGAAAGACCATCGATGTACTTCAGAACTGCCCGTTTCTGTCATTAAATATTTTACGAACTAAGAATCTTCATGAGGTCTGGAGGTCTGAGAGGTGCTTTCTACTTAACATTTTAAACGCTATCTTTTGTGTCTCATGGCATGTATGTATTAAATATTTTCCCGTGATTTAAACATAGGTCTCAGATGACACGTGATATAAGACTAGTGAGCTGCCGTCACTGGTTCGGATTCCGCTAGGGCCATTGATTTGATCTCTTTCAAGATTAATTTTATTTAAACAGTCCGTTAGCCTTGGGTCATAGGCTGCATTCTTTGATAAAACGACACAAATAGGTTTGATTGACAGAATTCCTGAGAAGTGTTTTTCCAGTGATCTTCTTTAACACCAATGATATTCGGAGCAGATATAACCGATATTTTAAATGAGATATCTCATTTGTAACATGGAACTTTAAAATTACCCAAAAAAATATTACAGATGCAATTTGATATCCTTGTGAATGTATTCGGAGTCATTTGGTCAGTCGGAAGCGAATTCATGACACCGGTCGCACAAATTCGTATTGTCTTTCGAATTGTTGTCAAGGACTGGAGTGTTTCAGTATCTACAAGCAAGACTTATTGTATTTTTAGGGTTTTGTCTTTAAGTGTAGGGTTAATCGATACCTCTCCTGTCCGTACGATTCATAGAGACCAGGAGTTAAAGCCTATCTTTCGTATTGAGTTTTTGGGGAAGGGCTTTCGTGAGTTTTAGAGCTTCAATCTAATACGTAGATTACTGACCAGGAGGGAATGCTGTGCTTGAGGAGTAGCTATTTCAGTCTCACGGAGCAGCGTAGCTGGAACGTTGATTTGTTTCTTTGGTTATTTAATTATGCTTCGTACAGCTTTCTGTAGCGTTCAGTGATACTATGATTGTAAATGGAGGATTGAGAGCAGTGGGAAATATAACTTGTGTAGCGTGTTTTTACGTGCTACCCCAACATTCGCCTGGAAAAACTCCGGGAACCACGAAAAGCCGCAGTGAGTGAGATTTTAGGTTCTCACGGCGGAAAAAGGTTACATCTGTCAAGTCGTTTGCAATTCATACCTAAGCTACGGTATATACATTATTAAACTTATGAAATAAAGTAGTAATTGTTGACGCTGTTGAAGGCGAAAGCAGGTTTTGTCCGAAACGTTGGAAGTTTTTCCAACATTAAACTATGTACAGACCGCTGTGTTAACGTAAGATTGTTGTATTTTTTTTTTCGGTGAAGGCGTAAACCGCTGTTCTTTTGTCGAAAGTTTCTG